ATAAAAAAATGCCATACAATGTATCAAAACCAGAAAAGAAAATACTGGAGACATGCCAGGCTACATCTAGCCTGGTGAGTATATAAGTCCCTCATCTATAATGACTTTTCAATGTGTTGTAAAAGGATCATGAGGTTATTGTGGAAATGAACGTTATCTTTAATCAAAAGACTACTCATTTCTTTCAAGGAGAGCTTATTTTCTCTGATTTAAAATGGAAGTCCACCCTCCCCAAAACTATGAATCCTCTTCTGAATAATAATTAAAAAAATACCTCTTTTATAAAAGCACTATGCACCTGGATAACACCAGTATAAAACCTGAAGATGCTGCCAGTCTCAACAAAAAGGAAAGTCTTTTGGAGTTCTAATACCTTACAGCCTCTTGAGACAGTGCTCCAGAAAAATTTTTACCATTTCCTTGGTGATGTAATATACGCCATTTATCCCTTCAGAGTTATAAGGCTTCAAAGAATAATATATTCAATTTATTTAAAAATTCCATGTCTCTAAGTAAAGACCCCAAGCCACTGGAACAGTCAAAGCTTTCATGAAAACAAACGCAATATCCATGTTACTTTAATACTTTAATTTCTCAAAAAAAAAAGGAGAAGGGAGTATATCAAAGTTGCTCCATCAAGCTGACACATCAGCTCAGTATGTCTTAGTTCCTACTTTCACTGTCAGTTTATCTTACTCTGCTGTTTCATATTTGGCAACAAAATATTTTATATTAATCATAGTTATTCATCAAACTGTTCCCAAGTCCCCAGATTTTCCGCTGCAAATGTTAAATTAATAAAATAAATCTTATATGGAAGTAGCATCTCCTTATCTGTAGACTCAACATCTATCTGACTGAGGACAAACAATTTTTTAGGACAAAGTTTTGTCAAGTATGAGTATCTAACAAGTAGAAGCATTCTGCATAAAGCTTCCAGATTTCCATCCACTATGGCTCTTCTTCCTGGACACTCTGTAACAAAAACAACCAAGAAAGTCTAAAAAAACACCTGTATCATCTCTGCAGAGGAAACATTCATCTTTTCTTCCTTTAAACAAATTATTTAGAAGGGAAGTCTCACCACCTGATTTAGCAGAACTGTGATCTTCAAAGCTTTATTGTTCTTATGCTAAAATTGCCTAACTGAAGAAATGTTAACTAGCATAATTGATGTTTTTTCTAATTGCTTTGTCATATATAACCAAGTTCTACAAGGTTCTTCTAGTGCATGTGTTTAAAAACTGGTGAAAAAAAGATAACATCTTTCATTTTATAAAGAAAATAAGTGTATAGTAAATTCTTCCTTTGAAACGAAGACTCAAAACTCCTAAACATATTTTCTGCTCTAGGAGGCAAAGGAGAAGCTAACAGATTCACATCACTATGACACAGAAATTATTTTCCCTCATTTTCATCATTTAAATGTTTTACAGATACACAACAGTGCTGCAGCTTTTAAAATATGTCTTTCCCATATATGTCTTTCCAAAATATGTCTTTTCCAGAAATTCTTTTTCTTAGGGCCAGGTTTTTAGGTTCTTGGTTATGACTCTCAGTGTCTACTGACACTGTACCCTAGCTTCTACTACCAGATTCACAATTCTCTTGAGGTCCTGTTTGGCTGTAAAATTTGGGGTCTCAAATTTCTCCTGTTTTGTTCTTCTTCAATCCTGACACAGACCAAAATATATTTAAAGCATATAGATTATAAAGTGGGCTTGTATCTCAAAGAAAATGATAAAACTTTGAATGTTTTCAAATTTTTCCATTAATTATTCCTAGAGTTACTTATGGGTGCCATGACGAAGCCATTCTGCCTCACCTATTTGCAGAAGACCACACTGGCTCTTTTTGTTCTTTCAGTTTTGCAAACTTACATCATCAGTGAAGAAAAATTCCTTCTCTTTAATACGATGCTTAATTTCTTTGTATTAGTTCAAATCAGTAAAGCAAGTATCTTCAAATTAACTTACAGCAGAATAAAATTAAATTTTAATCTAGGTTTCTATGACAACTACTAGCACGATGCAAGACTGAAGAAGAAAAAGAGAAGTAAATATAAAATAGCTTTTCTTTCTCATACACAGATTATTTCCTCTGGTGATAAATTCAAGAAGATAAACTAAGAGAAGTGAGATTTTGTTCAAAACAAGTCAGGCTTCTCTTTCCTAGTATTATGTTCCAAATTCATGTGCTAGTCAGAAAGAAACTTCTCTTTCTTGAAATAACAGTACTGCTCTTAAAGCTCTTTTTATATGTCTGATACCAAAAGATTATTTCGTATGTTCACTTACATTCAACTACACTCAGTTTTTTCATTACTTGGTACTAAACATAATAGTAGTATCAGGTGACAATTTTGAAGCAGGAAGCATAAAGAATTATACAGCACAGCATAAAGAATTAAATAAGGCAAGGGTTACATGGCCACAATTTTACATTTCATTGCCTAAAATGTTAGACTGTATGTTTTACTTTTGACCAGTTACAGAGCTGACTTGACAGATTATGTTGTCTAAATGGTAATTGCAAGAAAGTCAATAGTGCAGTTACAGCTCTTGAAAGAGAAATCTTAGAGCAAAAAGAAAAAATAATTCTGAGAGAAAAGCTCTATCCAGAAAAAATCAATGCAAACTGCCTGTTGTCCCAAGTGTTTTTCATTGCTAAACCAAATTCACATCTGACACCATACATAAGCTATCAGTTGGCACATTAGCTCTGCAGGACTTTTGTTGTTAGACAGAGAATTCTAGTAGTTATCGTACGTTTATAATAGCAATGGCCTAAAGGAGGCAGACAAGTTCTTGGCAGAGGTAACAAGTGAAAATTTGTGCAAGAAACAAATTTCTACATGAAAGTCCATCCTCCCCAAAGAATTTGTGCTCATTAATCAGAGAATAAAGAGTGTAACTTCCAATATGCTATAAATTTATGTGAGAGAATTTTGGAAATCTAAAGAAAAATCTGCATTTTCTTAACTGAGAATAGATTAGGTATTTGAAAAATGAACCTAACTTCAAGGAGAAACCATCATATATTATAACTAAAAGATAAATTACTCCTGTTATTATCAAAGTTGTCAGAGTATTTAAAAAGATGGAATTAACTAATGCCACATGACTACAGCAAGAGCAAGATATTTACAGAATTAATCATAACACTGTCCAAAATGGAGTGCTACTCATGGTCACAAGTACAGCACTAGATGTTCCAACACCATCAACTACTTGATCAACTAGCAGCTTGAGCTGAAAAACCTGTCCTTTTGAAAGGCCTGTATTTCTTCCTCAGAAAAGCACTGACATCTCAGTATATTTAAGACTTCATCTGAAAGAATACATCCATCAATATTAAGCTATTTCTAATATCATTCTGTCTTGTGACAATTTCAAAGGCAATATCAACAACAAGAAGAAACTCCGGCAGTACATTCCACAGGAAAGGGAAACCTACCCTGAGCTACTATGTCAACTTAATTCACAACTCTCCCACACCTGGGAGATTTTACATGTTCCCCAAATAAATATAGAACCCTGCCCGACCTCATGCACCCAGCTATGAGACTCCTTCACCAAAAATCTTCAGGATTCATCAAAACTCTCCTCAGACTTCATTACCACAGTCGTCCTATTAATCTCTTCATGTTACACAAACTAAAAATTGATGTCCTCTACTTTGTTGCTCTCCCTTCTATTAACAGATTCTCTACACCACTGGCACCAATTCTTATTCTGGTCAGTCTAAATGATTTGTATTTAACTAAACCCCAAGCAACCGTTCTCAGCTTGAATTTAGCTCTGAAGTCAGCTACTCATCTTTTTTCTTGTAAAGAAAAGTTTGAGTGCCTGAAAGCTTATTGGTATAGTACACTTACAGTCTTGAAAACTGACATCTTACCACTTGATACCTTTACATTCAAAAGAAGTAAACAAGGTATATACAAAGTAAAATAATTCTATTTATGCTATAAATGTAAGCAACACAAGTATAATAATGGCTTAGCATCAAAACCCAACTTTTTGTGTAGTTGATTAGGTACGAGGTAAATAATTCTGTTTAATGCTGGAAAGGGAAATTGGGTCTGTTTTCAAAGAGCTGATTTTTAAACTTCTGTGATATTTTACTTCTATTTTACTTAAAATTCTAAAGGTATTGTTGTTGTTGTTACTCAGGGCATAAAAAAATACAGAAATATCAAATTCTGATGCACAAATGAAACATACCTTGTTTAAAATTGTGTAACATTCAAGTGTGCCACCAAGAAATCAGTGAATTTACAGGCTGTTCTCCCAAATATTTCCAGCATCAGAGACTGCAAAATTCAACTTGTGGAAGAGTGATTTAATTGCTATTATAGCATATTTAATTTGTAATTCCTACAATTGTTAAAAGCAATGTTGGGAATGCTCCTCTCAATTTGTGTTAAGTGACGTACAATTATCCTTATAGAAGCACTTCTCTAAAAAGTAACTCTAGAAACATTTATAGTTCATTACTGGTTTAGGTTTCCAATTTTTATAACCTTCTCTTTATTGTGTACCTATTCCATTTTTTTTTGTCTTAGAAAAATACCTATTTACTAAAAGAGATAAAGGAGTTCCAGCAGAATATGGAACAAATGTAACATCTTTTCTCCTCCATAGGTAGAAAAAAGAAAAAGTCATCTAAACTGTCTACAACGTAAATGCCACTATCTGAGCCAGTCATCTTGGGCTCCTTTTGAAGTCAGTGGACAAAACCAGGTACTTACAGAGTGTGATTCATCTCATTTCAATATACATACCTGAAAAGGTAGCAGAATTTTTTTTCTGTATGTCAACTTTTCTCCATACATTCTAGATGAAGATGAACCTAACAAGATTGCTGTGCATTGCAAACATCGACTAGGTGCAGTGATGAATGATAGATGTCACAAGAAGATCTACCACAACATTAGGAAGACATTCAAAAGGAAAAATAAAATATGCAAAGTCCATGGAATGGTAAAATATACTAACTTGATCATGCTTTCTTTGCTCTTGCATGGCTTCCCAAACAGCCTGGGCAATCTTCTCTTTATGTCTGTCGCGTTCTGCTTCCCATATTTTTCTTTCTTCTGCATGAATCTTTTCCATATTTCTCCTCTCTTCCTCTACTGCTTTCAGAACAGCCTCCCGCACCACTTCTTTTTCAGCCTTTGAAATAAATCAAGCACCAAAAAATTACCAAAATACCCAACATGGGTGCCTAACTCATATATATTACTTCTTCTTATGAGAACTATGAGCTGACAAGATATGGGACATGAATATTTTCACTTCTGAACTATGAGCTTAAATTTATCTTAAGGTCTTAACAAGCAGGTATTACCACTGGACAACAACTTTGTAGTTACAGAGAGAAAAAAAAAAATTACATCAAGGATCTTCAGTTCCCATCTACTGAAAACACAATATAGCATAACTAGTTTGCTTAATGCCAACACAAAAAACATGCAGTAGAAACCGCATAAGAGTAGGTACATCATGGGCCTCCCTACACTGCTTGATATTCTCATATATGAGATATTCCTGCTCTTATATAAAAGTATGTAAAGGCCAAAAACAGTCTGAGCACTTTTGTGGCAAAGTAGCCAATACATACTTAAAACAAATGTCTTCCCTCTCAAAGCACCTTAGCTATGCATTCTACAAGAAGTACTTTTTAAATCTTTTTTTTCAATGTTTATATTCAAACACTACATGAAATCATCAGAAGACACACACTGAATTTGAAGTAACAAGGACAGATCTACACATGCTGAGCCACACAACTATACTTACCAGCACGGCAATAATTGCATAATATTTACAAATAAATAATGCCAGGCTGAAGTCCAAAATAAACAAACATGGGCGGACAAACCACACCTGCATACCCCTGAGTCTTAATAAACTTACAGGTCATTCCAATGCCCTTTGGTGGTGATTATGGAACTGGTCAAGTGAAGCTATAAATGGCAAAAAATAGTGGATTCCTCAAATGCCTACACTTATAAATAGAGCTGTTTCATGAAATTAATTTGGACGTGATTTTTTATTTATACATTTATAAAACATAATGAAAATGTAAGTTTAAAAAATGCCTTATTAAATGAAGATATTTTATTATACACACATTTTCCCCTAGATATCAACCATGTAACAGATATTTCTTGTGTTACTGAATGTTATTCAGAGAGATGCTTAGCTGGTGTGCACATACTACATAGGAACATATACAGGAAATGATAATATAGCCTAACCAACTCTGCTAGGTATCGTACGTCACTAGTTTTCCAAGATCATTACATGCAACTGAACTTTTGTACTGGATTCTACATCAGTATTAGAAATGAAAGATAGCTTAAGATTTACAAAATTAACCCCAATGCACTTAATGAAATAGACAGAAGAAATCATGTTTAAAAAAGTGAATACTCACTTTTAGTCAAACATCAACTCAAATAAAATAATTGGAAATCTGTTAAAATGTCCAAATTTTTATACGATTTATAGTTCTATCTTCATTGAAAATGACCCTATTTAACAAAAGTTAAATAAGACACAATGCTAATTGTCTTATTCAGATCATCAGTTGACCCTGCTACCTAGCTCTTCAAATCAAGATGTATTGATGTTGTTAACTGAAAGACCGTGAAACCAGATATTGAGGTAACACTAGTGATACTGTGACTTCTTGTTATAAACAAATCTTAGATAGAAGTAAGTTGTATATAGGCTATCTGCATTAAGGCATAGGATATAGCAGACATGTTCATGATTTATAGAACTAGCTTCTTTTAAACACAGATGAAAACATAGGGTTTGACAATTTTAGTTATGAAATAAGTATGACTCGCTGAGCTCGGCATTTGTAATGACACACATGGAATCCACATTGCATGCCTACTACTTAACAAGACATACCTCTGCAGCAGCTGCCACAGCCTCCTTACTTCTTTGTCTTTCTTCATCCAAACATTTGTCAAGCACTTCCTGTAAATGTTATGAAAAATTAAACTGCAATACGTAACACAGGAGCAGTTAAAATTAATTTCAAACAAAGTGCTTACGAAATCTTCCCTGTCCTGTCAATAATCATAGAATCATAGAACAGTTTGGGTTGGAAGAGACCTTTGAAGGTCATTCAGTCCAGTGTCCAGTAATTGTACAGGATCATTCCAAATGAACTCCACGGTGCAGATCAGACTGCTTTTTTTTGGTAAATTAAAGCAATACCTTGTGTTTTTGTGACTGCTGCATCAAAGCTTCTTCTATCTTTTCTGATAATACTTCCTTCTCTGCTTCCAAAATGTCAAGAAGTCGCTGATGCTGTTGGGAGAAAACATTCATATTATTGTAACCACCATCTGCTAATAAAACAGACAAAAAGAACTCATCCAAGACACGGGTTTTTCATTTGCTTACAAAATTACTTAAAATGTAGATTCTGTTAAATGACATATATAGCACTCCTTTAACTGATTTCATGTCATGAAAAAAAAATATAATAACATGTTATATAAATTATAATAATATATAATATTTATAAAAATCACTATATAAAAGTAACAGTTCCAAAATTTATAAAGACAGTCTAAGGAACACCACAATTTAAACATTTTATTTAAACAGCTGCAGAATTTAAATTATACTTGTACTATCTCTCAGTTATACATATAAAGGGCAGAAGGCAAATGCATTTTTTTCAACCATTTGTGATACCATGAATTTGAAAGCTAGGAAATGAAAGCAAAAGAGAATGCTGCTTTCTTCTAATTTTCTTGTAATACAAAACAATTTTTCAGGAAGAAAATGAACACTGAAGTAAACTGATCAGGTAGTCTATACGTAGACATATAATCTGTCACTGTTCTTAATCACAACCCTTTCATCTGTTTTTCACTAAACCAAGTAAAGCATTTGAAAGATGAGGGGTTTGTCTGTAAGAGCTAGGCTGTTTTCCAAAACTAAAAATTATTATTGGAAATTATTGATGTTGGGTATTCGTCATGAGATAATTGCTAGCAAGTCCATACACTTTTTTAGATGTTATTTAAGAGATGACACGTTATAACCTTAAAGGATAGTAACAATACATAATAATATTTTACAAGATCACCTAAAGGAAAGTGCAACAGTAGAGTTTATACTAATAAAAGTGTATATAATGAACATAAAATTTTTACACAAACGCTTATGCAGGCAAATACCCCTTTCACCAGCATTTCTAAGAAACAGTCATTTCTGTTTCATGAATTTTATTATGTTTTAATTAATTATGTGTCTCTAACAGCAGCTAGAAATACATTACCAAACTGCAATACTATGTTCTGAAAAATATTTTGTCACTTGAAGAATAGAATAGAAAACTTCTAGACAGCTTTATAAAATAAAACACACCTATCTGCCCTTCCAGGATAAATATGTAAAGAGGCATTTCCTAGTGAATTTACTTAAAATAGGTCTGAATGGAGCAGACATATTCTAACGGAAAACACCTGTGGAAGGAGTGGTCAAATCCACATCACGGTTATACTTAATGATGTGTAACTAACTTTTCTTGTGGGCTCAGTATTTTCAAACACTTGCTTTAACTGTCAGGGCACTTATAGAAATTATTTTTTCCCAGTAACTCAAAGGTGAACCAATACATGGATTTTATCAGTTAAATGATTGCCATGACTCTCCACTTGACTGACTGCACAGACTATAAATCTGTTATTTCACTCTCATTTGAAAAAATCCCCATCCTCTCTCAACCTGGCTGAACGTGGTGACTTAAGGGATAGGAGGCAATGGTGACAAGTTCCTGCCTGGTGCAGCAGGTGCATCTTCTCCATGACTACCCAACCTTCCCAGATGCCCTTGCGTAATAGGTATGAGGCTCTGCAAGTGCAACCAAACAATGACGGGGAGATGGTTCATCTAGCTTGGAGGTGTCACGGAGGTTAAGTTGCCCTACGCCCTGTGTCAAAACTGCTTCCATAAAGAAAAAAAGATGCGTCATTGTCATAGGAGACTCTCTCCTGAGGGGAACAGAAGGTCTGATAGGCAGACCAGACCCACTTCTTAGGGAAGTCTGCTGCTTCCCTGGGACCTGGGTAAAAGAGGTGAAGAGAAAGCTTCCTGCCCTGGTACAGCCTTCAGATTCTTATCCATTATTGATTTTTCAGGTAGGCAGTAATGAACTTGCTACAAGAAGTCCAAGGGCAACCAAGAAAGACTTCAGGGCCTTGGAAGGACTGGTTAAGGGATCAGGAGCACAAGTAGCATTCTCTGCTATCCTTCTAGTTGCAGGGAATGATGAGGGAAGAAACAGGAAGACCCAGCAGATCGATACTTGGCTCTGAGGCTGGTGTCACAGGCAGAATTTTGGTGGTTTTGATCACGGGTACGTCTATATGACACCAAGCGTGCTAGCAACAGATGGGGTACGCCTGTTGCAAAGGGGGAAAAGGATTTTTGCACAGGAGTTAGCAGGGCTCATTGAAAGAGCTTTGAACTAGATTTGAAGGGAGAAAGGGACAAAACTAGGCTTGCTAGAGGTAAACCTGGGGGTGCATGCCAATGTTTGAGGGACAGTCCTTTGGTCTGCCATCTTAATGGAAGCAGGGGATGGAGATTCATGCAACAGCAAAGACACAAGGGCTATTGATGAGTTATAAACCACAGAAGTGCCTGAGACTGGTCACACAGGAATTACGGCTTCTTCCCCATAAAGGTGGTGGGAACAATAGGCCAAGTGAAGTGCATCTACACCAATGCACATAGCATGAGCAAAAACCAGAAGGAGCTGGAAGCCATTGTGCAGCAGGAACACTATCGCATGGTTGTCATCATGGAAACATGGTGGGATGACTAACACAACTGGAATGCTGCAATGGATGGCTATAAAATCTTCAGAAGGGATAGGCAAGAAAGGAGAGGCAGTGGGGTAGCCTTGTACGTCAGGGAGTGTTTCGATTGTCTAGACCATAACGATGACAACAACAGGGTTGAGTGTTTACGGGTAAAAATCAGGGGGAAGGCCAACAAGGCAGGTATCGTGGTGGGAGTCTGTTATAGACCATCCAACCAGGATGAAGAGGCAGGTAAAATATTCTATAAGCAGCTGGGAGAAGTCTCACAATCGCTAGCCCTTGTTCTCATGGAGGACTTCAACCTACCAGATGTCTGGAAATACAATACAGCAGAGAGGAAACAGTCTAGGAGGTTCCTGGAGTGTGTGGAAGAGAAATTCCTGACACAGCTGGTGAGCGAGCCAACTAGAGAAGGTGCCCTGTTGGACCTGTTGTGAACAGAGAAGGACTTGTGGGTGATGTGAATGCTGGAGGTCATCTTGGGCACAGCGATCATGAAACAATAAAGAGTTTTTGATTCTTAGAGAAGTAAGGAAAGGGGTGAGCAGAACTACTACCTTGAACTTCTGGAGGGCAGACTTTAGCTGGTTTAGGAGACTGGTTGACAGAGGCCCCTGGGAGGCAGTCCTGAAGGGCAAAGGAGTCCAGGAAGGCTGGACATTCTTCAAGAAGGAAGTCTTAAAGGTGCAGGAGCAGGCTTTCCCCATATGCCAAATGACGAGCCATGGCGGGGAAGACTGGCCTGGCTGAACAGAGTGCTTTGGCTGGACTCAGGAAAAAAAAAGGAGAGTTTATGACCTTTAGAAGAAGGGGCAGGCCACTCAGGAGGACTGCAAGGATGCCATGAGTTTATGCAGGAAGAAAATTAGAAGAGCCAAAGCCCAATTAGAAATTAATCTGGCTATTGCCACAAAAGACAATTAAAAATGTTTCTATAAATACATTAACAACAAAAGGGGGGCTAAGGAGAATCTTCATCCTTTATTAGATGGGGAGGGAAACAATGTCAAAGGATGAAGAAAAGGCTGAGGTACTTAACATCTTCTTTGCCTCAGTCTTTAATAGTAAGACCAGTTGTATTCTGGCTACCCAGCCCGCTGAGCTGGAAGACAGGGACAGGGAGCAGAACAAAGTCCCCATAACCCAAGGGGAAATGGTTGGCAACCTGCTACACCACTTAGACACACACAAGCTTTTAGGGCCAGATGGGATCCACCCAAGGGTACTGAAGGAGCTGGCAGAAGTGTTCACCACACCACTTTCCATCATTTATCAGTAGTCCTGGCTGACTGGGTAGGTCTCAGTTGATCGGAGGTTAGCAAATGTGATGCCCATCTGCAAGAAGGGCTGGAAAGAGAATCCAGGGAACTACAGCCCTGTCAGTCTGGCCTTGGTGCTGGGGAAGTTCATGGAGCAGATCACCTTGAGTGCCATCACATAGATATACAGGACAATCAGGTGATGAGACCCAGTCAGCATGGGTTTATGAAAGGCAGGTCCTGCTTGACTAACCCGATCTCCTTCTGTGACAAGGTGATCCGCTCAGCGGACAAGGAAAAGGCTGTGGATGGGGGTTGGACTAGGTGACCTCTAGAGGTCCCTTCTAAACCAATGCATTCTACGATTCTATGTTGTTTACCCAGACTTTAGTAAAGCCTTTGACACCACTTCCCACAGCATTCTTCCGGAGTAAGCGGCTGCTCATGGCTCAGAAGGGCATACTCTTAGCTGGGTAAAAAACCTGCTAGATAGCTGAGCCCAAAGATTGGTGGTGAATAGAGTTCAACCCAGTTGGTGGCCAGTCACAAGTGGTGTTCCCTAGGGCTCACTACTGGGGCCAGTTCTGTTTAATATCTTCATCAATGATCCGGATGAGTGGATTGAGTGCACCCTCAGTAAGCTTGCAGATGACAAGTTTGGCAGGAGTTTTGATCTGTTTGAGGGTATAAAGGCTCTGCAGAAGGATCTGGACAGGCTAGAGTGATGGCCAAGAAGGCCAACACCATTCTGGCTTGCATCAGAAATAGTGTGGCCAGCAGGAGTAGGGAACTGATTGTTCCCCTGTACTTGGCAATGGTGAGGCCACACCTCAAATACTGTGTGCAGTTTTGGGCCCCTCGCTACCAGAAAGACACTGAGGTGCTGGAGCGTGTCCAGAGAAGGACAACAAAGCTGGTGAAAGGTCTAGAGAAAATGTCCTATGAGAAGTGGCTGAGGGAACTGGCATCGTTTAGCCCGGAGAAAAGGAAGTTGAAGGGAGACCTTATTGCTCTCTACAATATCTGAAAGGAGGTTGCAGCGAGGTGGGTGTCGGTCTCTCTTTCCAAGTGACAAGCAATAGGACAAGAGGAAACGGCCTCAAGTTGGGCCAGGGGAGGTTTAGATTCAATATTAAGAAAAATTTCTTCACCAAAAGGGTTGTTGAGCACTGGAACAGTCTGCTTAGGGAAGTGGTTGTGTCACCAACCC